TGTTGCACAAAAAGCCCTGGAGGCTAGGAAGAGGACACCGGCAATTCAGTAGCCTTTCTACATTAAAGAGGGATTTCCATACAAAAGCAGTCTGCAGGAAAAACGAGATTTGAGAAGTGTATTCCCCTCCACCGTGATTTTCTTTTCCTTACGTTTTGGTTAGTGATTACACAGCTATAGGGGTGTCCTGGAGAGGGCATTCCCTCCACCCAATTCTGCAGCAAACCAGTAACACCAACTGATTTCCAAATGTGTTATTCTGCCAAAGGCAAAGTACAACCGTGCAAGTACATTTCAGGGCAGAGTCCAAAATGAGTGAGGATCTTCACAATAAAGCATGGGGCGACAGGGGGAGAAGAAAATGTCTTCTTTGAAAGTCTCAGGGCAAGGTACATCTAATTTTTAACATCTCTGTATGGAAGTCTCACTTTAATACCAAGGAGCATCTGAACACCCAACCTTCAACTAAGAGAGAGGAATATTTCTTGTACTTTAACACAGGAACTATGACGAGCATTCACTTTTCTGTCTGCAGTTCGAGCAAGTGTTAGGGATCTAATCATGCAGAATAAGGCTGTTAGATCACTTCAGGGCTCTCTCTTAATTAGTTAGTAGGAAAACATTACAGATTAGTCATGTACAGTCAGATTCAGCAAAGTGTTTGGTCAGAGCAGTTTAATGCAATGGAGTTTTACCTTCCTAAGCTGGAGGGAGAGAATCTGCTGCTTGATAAGCTAAGCGAAAAACAGCATAAAAACCATTAGACAGAGAAGCATGGAAAGGAGCTGAAATAAACAGACCCGTTACAGAGACGTATTAATGATGAGTCGTTTTGCACAGATCAGAGTTCCTATTAAAAGAAGGTACAGCTGCCTCACTCAGGCTGACGGCCAGGACGAGCAAGCCGCATTGTCAATCGAAATCAGAGGCTGTAAAAATGAAATGGTCGTTAACTGCAGGAAAAGAAGTGTAAGGGCATCGACACGAGTAGGTTTCCAAGAAGCAGCACCTTTGAGCCTTCCATGCACCATCCGCCAGCGCTGTGCTCAAAGCAGGCAGCTCCACCGGGGGAGATGTTCGATTAAATGGCAGGCAAGGAGTGCAGATCATCTGCGAGGCCACTTCTCTGCTGGCAAGCAGGTGGCCTGAGCTGGTCACTCTCTGTGCTTCCAAGGACAGCTCTTTGGAGAAGCTGAAAACAGTCTGGTCACTACACAGTGCTTTCCAGCTTGCCAACCAAGATCACTAACGTCCGGCAAAAAAAAACTGAAATAAAATAAAAGAAGCAGACTTTACAAGAATCTACAGGGTTTTGCTTTCTTTGCAGGAACACGTTGCAACGTTAACCCATGTAGCGGGAAAAACGTGAGACATCCAAGTCCTACCAAAGCGACACCCGGATGAGCTACTTACCAGTGGCCACCAGCTCTCCCAGAGAAGTGTCTTCAGGGACTCATGTCCTAGCCAAAAGGCCACATTGCCTTACTGAGGCAGCAACCCCTTGCAAGCTGTAGGAAATAACCTCTTGGCAGCGTCAGGAGCCGTTCCTCAGTCCCTAAGTTCACCCTCATGGCAATCAAGGGCCTAAAACTAACCAGGTACCAGCGAGCCAACAGCAGATCAGTGATTTAATGTTAGCTACGCCTATGCAACAACCTCAGTATATAGCCTCAGGAGTGACTGCAGCATGGACCTTTGGGAGGTAAGAAGCCAAACTCCTACCTCAGTACCTGCTGACAGATCGAGCCTTGTGCACCGAAGACCAGCATCGAACAACCAAACATCAGCCCTTTATGACAGTGTTACGGCACACAGCACAAGAGCCAAGGGAGGCGGCGCCTCTTCAGGTCTCCTGCTCAAAGGACCATGTGCAGGCTCTCTGTGGGACTTCAAGCTTTGTCCCCAAAACCACCACAGAGGGTCTCTGAACACCACTTCTGCCCAGTGCATAGCAGGATCTCCATGTGAATAGTAAGCGGAAAAGCAGCACATCTTGAAGGCCTGACACTTTACAGAAATAATTTGCACATTTTTGCTGTTAAGAAAACCCAGCACTCTGAAGAGCTCTCTGACTCCTCTCCTTCAGATCAGCAATAAATTAATCATGCTTTTTTGCATAAGACAAACTGGAGAGTGCCTTGGCTTGGACGTAAAGAAAATGACTCAAACAGCGAGAGTCAGACTGAAGGGTGTGGGTGCCACAAACCCCTTGCGCTCATGACCGTGATCAAACTGTGAGCATCATCTGTACTTTTTTTTTAATTCCCCAGCGCTGAGCACGAAGCCTGGGCTTTATTCACAACACATCCTTGAAACACAGGCTGAGGGTCTCTCGAGGAGCCTTAATACTATCAAAAGAAAAAGGCCTTCACCACAAACATCACACATTAATGAAAGTTTAACCTCAATGTGATAAAGAGCCAAGAAAAATTTGCTTTCCAGGCTAGAGATTTCAGCCCAGAGAAAGACCAAGTTCTGAACACTTCAGACAGAACAGCTCTGCCTGCTGGCAGCTGGCGTTCCGCTTCATTTTAATCACGTCCACAGAGCTGCGATAGCATAACTGCAACAGACTCCAAACCAAATCTACCCACATGGAAACACGGGGCTCCTGAGTGAGGCACGACGAACGCCCCAGCACGCCTCAACTGATGCTTTCTAGGAAGGGGCTGCCTGCGTCCTCAGCTCCCCAGAGACTCGTTAATGCACACAGGACAGGATGAAACATAGCGTCAGCAGCAGACGTGTCTTCCCCGAGCAAACTTGGGGCTGTTAGCAGTTACTAGATGAAGGCAAATGCTTATTTTATCCTGAGGTATGCATCTAAAGTGGGTGAATTGAGATCTAAACGTGCTGGTTTCTCTCTACTGGGAAAAAGGAGCTCCAGTGTCAGTGGGAGGAAAGCCTCCTCGGGCACCTTGCATTCATGAAGCGAAGCACAGCTTGTTGAAAGCTAGTCCTGAAAATATAGGTTTTGTTATAAGCTGCCGTTGCACAGAACTAGAGAATTCTAACCCTCTAGGACAGTTAGATGTGGTCCTTGGTGACCTGTTTTAGTGGTGGAACCGGCCTGGCTGTGTTAACGGTCGGACCTGATGATCTTGAAGGTCTTTTCCAACCCAAATGATTCTATCATCTTATACTACGTTCCTTTTACCTGCTCCAGTTCCTTTTTGAATTCTGGTTCACCAGTTGCTTTCAAACCCCTCAAACCTCTCAAAGGTTTTAGCCCCCCAACTACTCCCAATTTTCTCTGGAAGTGAAGACAGTCTTCCCTGTTTTTCATGCACTTGCCAAATTTCAGTCTTGCTGCCAGGGCAGGAGGCAGAACTGTCAACACCACTCACTTTTTTTAATCACTAAAAAATATTGCTCAGGTTGATGGTCCTGGGCTGGTACATCACCTCACTGGCACTGGAAAGTTAACTGCTCGAAAAACAGATTTTAAATCCAGCACCTTTTCTAACCTTGTCATGAAACCACTGCATGAAATTCTCCTCTTTCTGTATTTCTTCTCTCTGAGACAAAGAAATTCTTCTCCTTCCAGCACGTGCCGTCATATGGAAGTCAACAAGAGCTCAGGAGACCCTGAAATTGGCATCACAGTGGCTCCATCCTCACACATACGAGTACACTGACTTGATCTACCTGATCTGCAGCAGTCAATATATTTCAGCCCTCTACCACAGCACAAAAACTGAGCTGCACGGGCTGTCCAGTGCAGCAAGCAAACAGCGAAACGCGTCAATGAGAGCAAAGCTGAGACCTCCGAGTTATATTTTGACAGGAACAGCACCGTGCGACAGCTCCTTGAGAGAACCCACCGAGAACCAGGCGGGACAGAGGGACGGCCCTGCCCATCCGCCGCAGGCTCTCCCCCTTGCTGACCCGTGACATTATTGGGCATGATTTTCCACACGCAGACTCCCAAGGATAAGATTTCATATGAACTTCTCTGCCTCCAAGGTTAATGCAGCTTTGTGACAGATACAAGCCCGCTCTGAGAATCTTCTCCACCGCCGGTAGTGAAACGTTTTCAACATTTAAAAGCCACCAGCAAAGCTCTCACGTACATATGGTTATGCTCGAGGCTTCTTTCCTGACATGTGTCCCGCTTCTTATCAAGCACTTCATGCACACAAGGAATGTGTGTGTTTGTGTTTCATATACCATGGCAGTAATTATCAGCAATCCTGCGATAAAGCAGCTGTGAGTGCTATGGAGCTGTACAAGACACGCTGTTATTTTACAGACTGGAAAATGGACGTATTGAGTCTATGCCTGTCAAGGTCACGGAACGATTTGATGTCAGAGCTGGAGAAATATGGCTTTTTTTTTTTCCTGCGGGTAATTTACTTCGAGCTGAGCTGAGCACAAGCTTGCACGTAACAATTTAGAGCTAGATTTCATTAACAGAGAAGGTGGAAAACAATAAATTAAGTTACATGTGCCTGTCTCAGCCTCTGTAACACCCTGAAGATGGCTCAGAGACTTGTATTTTAACGCTGAATTATTACTGCCTTTTGTGGTCCAAATTAAACCGGTAGCTAGTTGAAAGTCATCAAGGAATGAGAAAGGACAAAAGAAAGCACAAACAAATATTGGACAATGAAGCTGACATCTTCCTGGTAACTCGTGTCTAGAAGATTTTTGTGGCTATGGGTTAGACAAGAAGCAAGGTGAAAATACAGTTATTTGTAAAAACTCTTCCACCTTCCTGTTCTCAGACCAGGTGATGCTGTGACGTGTGAGACCAAGGCAGTGCAAGACACCCAAGACCTTCCTCCCCTCACTGAAACAAAGCAGGGATAGAGCAGGTTTTAATTCCACCTCCTGGAAACTGCCTCTGCTGTGGCACAAGAGGTGCCTCGTTCAGAGGACACCACGCTCTCTCCTCCATGCGATCAGATGGGATTCCAGGCTTGGGAAATGTCTCGATTTGTGAGGTTTCCAGACGAGAGCAAAGTGCATACATGTGATATATTCTGGACTTTAACGGTAGTCCTGAAGGGCACTGCTTGTCGAGCTCCACATATCCATCTTCAAGCCTAGGCTATCGGCTCATCGGCCTGCATACTCAGCTCCACTTGACTTTCTTAGAGATATGGACAGGAGGCTTTAGAAAGGGGAGTGAAAATGCCGTTTGGGATTACTATTCACTGTGTCCCACCGCCAAGGAACCTCACTGAAGCAAGGCATCACTGTGCAGATAATGACACCAACAGGAAAAGGATGTCTCTGTCCTAGAGATACTACAGACTGGAGATGAATCCATTTTTGCCCTTCCAGTGGGCACTGGATGTCCCTCCATTCAGAGTTTGGGAGACTTCCATCTGACAAGACAAATGGACTGAATTCCCTCAGATGCCACAGCTGGTTTCTTATCAGGGATTGTCAGCACTTGTTGCCCGAAGCAAGGTCCCACAAGAAGTTACAGGTGCCCGACTGCTGAAGAAGGGAACTCCTCTAAGCTAAGAAAGCTAAACATGCTTTTCAGGAACTGAGCACTCACGAGTTTTCAGCTCGCTTTATTATAGTAACACATCTTTCACCTTCACTTGATATTATGTGCAAAAGCAAGAGATGCGAGATCAGGAATGACTTCTAGCCAGAAGAGCCAGGTGGCAAGGCACTCTCCTGAGCTCATCTGCCACCACAACCAGGGAGAGCCATCCAAGAAAAGATCAGAGGCAATGTCACTAGACTCTATAAATATCTGCATATGATGAAGCTA